GAAACTTGTTATGTTTAGGCTGGCAAAGTAGAAGACAGGTAATGCGTCATACATATTACATGACAGAAGGTAAATGCTAGTTAGAAGAGGTTATTTAAGTGATAACATTGACACACCAACAGATTCATGGTGACTTAAAGCCATTTTAGACTGGAAGAGGCTCTTCATTTTTAAAGCCCCGGGAATTGCCTGAAGCGAATCAGTTTTATTTAGCATTTAACACAGAGGAAATGCATATACAAGCAGCAGCAGTAATTAAACTTTCAAGAGTAGTTACAAGTAAAACTGAAATCACAGATGATAAGCTCAGTTTGTTAAACACAGCTCATCACTTAAAGAAATATTAAGATGCATGTCATGGACCCAGAGTAATCCGATGTAGATGTTAGTTGTTTGAGCAGTTCCATAATTAAAACCAGACTTTTCTGATAGCTGTGGCTGTGTCCACACTCCTTTGAAGTGCTTGGCCTTGAAAAATATTTGCTGCACTAAATGGCCACGCCCACAGTCACCCATGGCATGTTTTGGAGCTGTGGCAAGAGGAGCTCACCGAGGGCACACAGCAGCCCACAGCCTGAGCCAGGGGCAGCGACTGCTCTGAGCCCAGACAACCAGTTTGATTTTTGGATGTGCTGAACACGCTCTCTGCTTGCATTTACATTCAGAGACGCTTCTGACAAAGTAAATCATCAGTTTTCCTGCTCTCACCAGTCATTTTTACAGTGGCACTTCGCAAAGATGTGTTCTCAGCTGAGATTTCACACCATTAGTCATGTTGTTGATTCAGCCACTCATCCCGAAGCCTGGGCTATGTCTCCTATCAGCTTCTGCCTTGCATATCCTTTGCTTTGAATTATTGCTGGTAGCACTGTGTTGAAATAAGCCTGTGCATATAGAATGTGTTTTATACTAACATACATATTTGCTTATTTTGCTAAAGACCTTCAGGAATAATGTTTAGTTTAAGAAAATACTGTATTAAAGTGGTACTTGCCACTGAAAACACTGGGACTTTCCCGACAGACCATTCAGCTGTATGAGACTAAGGTACTATGGGATCCTTCTCTTAGCATGGGAAAGATGTAAAAGAAGCAGTTTAAGCCCAGTTCAAAATGAGACTCACTACTACACCACATCCATAGTGTTGTTTATAGAATAAAAAAAAAACTATTAAAATCAGAACTATAAGGGCTCAAAGTCAGTGAAACCACTCTTGAATCATTGCATATATTTGGAACACTGACATTGTTAGACTTATGAACATCTATTGTTAGAATCACAGCTTCAGTCATACCTAAACTGAAACCTTATAGAAATACTCTTTAAAATCTTAAAGTCATGTAGCAAATGGATTTGAAATTGGGAAGGTATAATTCTGTTTGGGATAATTTTTTTTTTTTAAAGAAAGTCTCAAAAACAAGTTTTCTTCTTAAATTTGACAAGAAAATGGCAAAGTGTGTTAAAAATATTATTCTGGTTAGTACTTTGTTCCACTTTATTTTCTGTTTTATATGGTACATGATAAAGCACAGTCTGCACAAAGAAACTCAGTTGCAGGGACCTTGATTTTAAGTGGGAAGCTGAGGCTTTCTGAGAAGCTGCAAAGAGTGACCTCTGGTATCTTCTCCTGAATGAAAAAGAACATATCTCTTTTGACATGTGTTCTTGCTATCTGCTGACCTCAGCATTTGAGAATGTTTCAGAATGGGACAGGACTGAATTAAGAGAACTTGGATGAGTAAATCCTCCTGTGGCTCTTTAGGAAGTCATAATCTGCAGAAGGACTTTTAGTTGCAAGGAGTCTCTTCTACTTAGAAGACAAAAAGGGGAAATTAAAAGCCCCTATCACACGCAGCTCACTGTCTGATTTTTCCCCTCATGTGCAGCCAGGTTTCTCTGAGGAAAAAATCTTTAGTGATAATTGCTATTTTCCATAACAGTGCAGGAATTTTGGGAACAGATGCTGACTGATTCCTCTCTGTGCAGTTGGACTGCCAAGTTATGAAATGTTTGATGTACAAGCGGAGTGTGAATAAAGGTTTTATTACTTTGAACAAGACATCTCGGCTCAAAATTCCCTTGCTTACATTTGCGTGGATATTAACGACCTGTTAGTTAAATGTGGATATAAAAATGTCAGATGGACTCAAATGGATCAAATTATATCCCTTCTCAGCTTTGCCCTTTAAATGTTTTATGGTTCCTATCCCTGGGCTTCCCTCCTCTTCTCCTCTTGTGTTTACTGGTTGTTACATGGTCACCTTTTTAGATACAAATAAACCCACAAATCAGCAGCTGCTTTTATTGTCATTTACATCAGCAGGGTCGTTGTCTGTGCTTTCATAGATGAAGGAATAGTTTCTAAATGGGATGTGTGCGGAACTCCTTATGTTCCTCTTTAAGATGATATCTCTGAAAAATATCAAATTTTCAGATATGCTAGGAGAAATTTGAATTAATCCTCTTTAGGTCTGTCTCAAGTCTTAAAATACTACTGTTGTTAGTCAGTCTTTCATTTTTGTAATGAAAGCTTTATCACTTAATCTGACAACGGTTAAAAAAATGAGTGATATGACCAGTTTTTAAATTTCCTTACATTCTTTTTCTCTTCTCTCATGGCTTTGTAAGTGAGGACAAACAGGAAAGGCGAGTATGAAGAACTGTGCGTTTCAGGAATGGAACCGATGTGTTCAAATACATTGAAAGAGAAGATGAATTTCAGCGTTTAATGTCACACCACTGTACAGTTTCCAACAGGATCTGTCTATTAATCCTGGTATTAAGTAGCTGTGTAGCATTTCAGAAATGATAACTGATGCTAGCAATGAAGCAGTGAGCTCCCAGCTTGCTGCCTCTCTGGTGCTGCAGTGCGAGTGTGATCTGGCCGAGGCCCAAGGCAGTGCTGCTGAGCAAGTGAAGTTACAACAGCACTGGCTTTTGTTCTTCTTGTCACTGCAGCTTCCAAAGGCTGTAAAGTTCTCCTGTGGTGCTGATCCTTCTCCTAATATTGTTGTGTGATACTGTAGTTGTGCAGGAGTTGTGTCAGCACCCTCCAAGCCAACATCTGGAAACTGTTGATTCTTGGCAGAGCGCGGGATGGCACAGACACAGCTGGTGCATCTTGCAGCGGTATCTTAAATCCTCGTGAGAGGATTTGTGCAAGACCAGTTGTGTCTGGTTAGTACATGTTTTCCACAGAAATTAGGAAAGCTCACTTGAAAAGTCAAGGTGAACTGTAGCTTTTCATTACTGCTTTTTTATCTGGACTCTTTGTTTTAATAATATCAATACTGGCAACACTCATCAAGCTCCTTTGATTCTCATGGGTCCACTAAGAGCTGGGACTGTTCAGCATGGAGGGAAGTGCAGAAGACAAAAGCAGAAGTGATCTTGCCTTTTAATTTATTTTTTTCCCCCAGAATGCCTTGCAGCTATGATTTTCCACTCAGTAAAGATTTCTGACCTAAAGGAACAAAGAGTAGGCAGATGCTCAGAGAACAAGAGATAGGGATCTAGGAAGATTTTAAGACCTGAAGCTCAAGGCAAACTAAAAATCCATCACAAACAGATTAACAATTAGCTGCTTAGCTGTGTTCTGACGAGATTTCCGAGGGCTCAGAGAATTCTTGGTGGTTCAGAAAGAGAACTTAACCTTCTCCTAACATGCCTCATGTTCTGTCAGCTGTGCAGAGGCAATGGAAAACTCTGTCGAAACAGATGGCAGGGTTAGCCCCCCGCCACTGAATAAAAATGGGAACTTCAAGGTCCAGTTAATGGCTGGAGAGCCAAGAAACATTTGGAAACTTAGTTTAATATTGAATACACCCCAAAGAATACACTGTTACAATTCCAGGACTTCTTGGCTATGGCCAAACTCTGGATGCTGCAAGAACAGTCATTTCCCAGCTCACGCTTCCAGCCAGAGCGAGGAACTGCTGAGGTGCACAAAAAATAAGATGTAGCACTTAACATGGGTTTAGGGCTTTTGAAAAAAGACATGTTCAACAGCTGGGTCAGTCCAGCAGAATATGTTTTTGCCCAGTGCTTCCTGATAATCTACTACGCCGTTCAATACTAACTTTTCATATACTAAAACAAATATTATGTTAAAAGCAATCACGTGCATAAAGTATACCAAGAAACGACATGCAAAAATATCTGGTTTTTCTATTAAAAACATGCTGGCATGTCACGCTGACAAAAGTTTCACAGAACAGTTTGGTAAAATGTGGAAACTGTGATCTGTGTAGCTGAAAGGGTTTCAGATGCTGGTGGCATGACTACTAAAAGCTAAACAAAGTCACAGAGATGTTGCTTTACGTGCATCCAATGAAACAGATAGTGGGTGCCAGTTAATGCTGATCAATAACATTGCGCTGATTAATAATGAAAAACAGTCTTGCTATGATCTAAAGAATGCACTGTTAAATAAGCAGATCTTACTTGCCTGAGTTTGGAATAAGAACATAAAGAAAGCTCCTACAAAGTGTTTTCAGTAGTGATCAGTGCCTTATATCAACCCCAATCAAGATCCTAGTTGTTTAATCATAACTGTAAAGGTCTGCAAAGGTGTTTTTTTCCTATGGAATGGGTCCAATGGAAGGGCAGTGCTCCTCCCTGCAATGCAGTAGGTGCAATCTTACACTGCTCCATGTCTGTCTCTACCTTTGCACCTTTTGCCTGTACATTAGGAATCAAGCATGGAAGACCAGAAGTGTAGTGCTGTTGGAAACATAACTGACCTCTTAGTCTTGCACACAAGTGCCTGTAATCAGGTTCAGAACGTCACTTCCCAGTCATGTCCTGCTGCACTCCCCTCTTCCTTCTGCAGGGAATGCACAGCCTCCACTTAAAATCAAGGGCAAGGGCTGAAAGATAACTGTGATGCCTGATAATTGTCAGACTACCCCTATTTGTTGTCCTCAGCTTAACATAAATGACTTCCTAAGGATTAGTGAAGGCCACCAGACCTACTCTACTTTTTTTTTTTCCTTCTAGAATTTCCTGAACCTACTGGATGGATGTGAGGAGCTAAAGCCAGGTTGCTGTTAAACTATATCTTAAGGTAAGCTGTTAAACACCCGGTGTTATTGCTTGTTTTGTTTGTTTGGGGTTTTGAAGAAGCATTCACATGTCCAAGGAAGCTGTGGGAGCTAATCATTAGATTCTAAGGATCTTGAGGATCTTCTTGACAGATCCCAGCTTGCTGTGGTGGCTCTCTTGGGGCAGCTGCTGTTACTTGGGAGCAACACATTTCGGTGCCTCTTTTCTTGACAGTACTTGGGATTAATTTAATCTGCTGTTACCTGAATATCTCTGTAGACAAGAATCTATCTTGAAGGAAATGGCTGCAGAGATCCAAACTGAATTATGGTTGCCACATTTGTTTACAGAGATGGGATGTTTTTATAGCTGAGATTTTCACTCAGTGTTAGTTTTGATAAATTGACACAAGCAAAAGTCATTCCTTAACTGAAGTATTTGGAAACAGTATAAGGGAATAAAAACAGATGTTCAAAACTAGAAAACAACTCTTTTAAACATATCTATCATTTAAAACAGGAAACATCTCTAAGTGAATTGCGTTTTCTGAAGTCTGACTAAGGACAAAGGTATCTCTTCTTGTTTTTGTGAATGTGTTCAGTACTGTACAAACAAAAGAAATGCCCTTTTCCCTTAATACCTCCACGAACAGACATTCTGCCGCTTTAATCTTACACTGACAATAATGCAACAGTTTATTTCCTGATTTGTTGTGGCTATTCAACCTATGAGCTCAGATCATTTTGTTAAAACACAATTAAAATTTAGCATCTTGCCTAGTTTACCCTCCTAGTCAAATTTGTCCTCATTTGGCAGGGCTCCTTTCTAATTTTGACTTATTAAATTCTGTGAGAAAGATCAAAGGTGCCCTCCTGTTTCTCATTACACAGGATCAACGGATCAGATAATTCAAGGTCTGATAAAATGGCACAGGGAATTCAGCTGTGTGCAGCATTACTGTTATCAGGCCATTTTTAAGTAAGAGTTAAATTCCCAATTCTTTCGTAAGCAGCATCAATAAGCTGTGCTTAGCAAGTACCTCTTTCCTGTAGAACAGGGTTTTATTTTTGTTTGGAGTTTTAAAATGTTCCATGTCATCTTAGGTTGGTAAGTGGTGTGATTTACTGACTGTGCTCGATGGATTGTATTGGCATCCTGGGACGACTGCACTGGAGCGTTCCTCCCTAAAATACAGCCAGTTCTGAGAAAACAGCACTATTCTCGTGAAAACAGCGTTTATATATTTCTCTTGCATGTTTATCCTCAGCATCATCTTACTGGGAACTTGTTTAACCTGCCAAAAACCCTTCTGCACTCTGACTGCAAACCGTTCTGCAGCCTAGACTTGTCATGCAAACGCCGCACGACTTCAGGCAGGTAGAGAACTTCAGTCCTCTGAGCACTGAGCACTGAGTTATCCCCCCCTTACGACTGCTGCACACTCAAAGCACTGCTCCCTCACTGGCCCTGTCGTCTGTCAGGCTGCACAACTTTGATCTAGGCAGTTGGCTTCCGGTCTTACCTCGGCGTTCACAACCTCATCTCGCTGAGAAGTCTTACCCAGGCGCCTTATCCTGAAAACTGAGGGCTTTCTATTTGTTTGGTTAACTCCCAGGGCTTGCCAGCGATCCAGCTCCTGCTCAGTCGGTGCTCAGAAGGCTGGTGCATGCCTCTGCACTGCTTGGGTTTTCCTTAATCAACATATGGACTATAATACATTGTTTGTTTGGAATCTGATGTCATGGGAAAAAGTGTTGCTTCGGTCAGTATGGAAACTTGCCCAGATACGTTCAAGTTGTTTCTTCCTTGCCTGTAGTGTCTGCTTGAAACCTTTCACTTGCCTTCTGACGGTTATTCCTGCTCATCCACAGGCTGTTTCCAGTCCAAATATAGTGCTGCTTGATTGAAAAAGTCCAAGAGGCAGTTCTCTTTCTGGCACATGTTTAACAATCCCGACTAAATCCCTTCTGAAATTCCATGGTCCGGTTTGTCACAGCAGGTCACAGGCTTGCTAAGGCTGTCCCTCCGGACATTTCAGCGACTCCTGCGTCTGCACAGCTACAAAAACTCTGCTGAAATCTGGAATGTTTTTCAAACCCTTTTCTCCCCTCCCTCTGAGGTCGCTGTGAGGAAGCAGTGACCGAGGGTATCCTTGTGAAACTCCTGTTGACCCGCGATCTGGAATGTGCAGCCGGTTCAGGGCTGTGCCCTGCATTGGGGTCTTGTGTTTGGGGTTTGTTTTTTGTACCGAAGAAGCCTTTCAGTTGATATTTGAGAATGACTTCAAAAGCACGGCTAATAAAGTGATTTTGTTTGCTTGGCTGCTTAACTAAAGACTATTAGTCAGGGCAAACTAATGTAACTCCACTGATATTAATGGAGCTCAGATACAATAATTGGAGAACAAGCCCTTAAATTCTAGGGAAATTATTACACAGGCTGAGTTTAAAAGGCTCTAATGGTGTCTAATAACGTTATGAGCCTTTAATACCCCCTAATTTCTAATTAGCTTTTCCTTTCTTGTCAGCTTTTTCTTTTATACCTTTCTTGTTGATGTCATAGTTGTGCTGTGAGAAAACAGGAACTCTGTTCGAGATAAACCTGCCCTGAGCTGTGCCTTCAGATGTGTGGTACCCGCTCAGGACAAGAGGCTCAGCAGCCCTCAGAAAATCAACATGGAACCCTTTCTGTCTTTTGACCCTAACCCTAACCCAGCTGATCAGGAAGGGATTTTCCTGGGGACAAAGATACCATTCGGACTTGAGGGTTGTCCCGCTGCCAGATTTCAAGCTCCTCTTACAAATTGTTACGGCTCCTCAGAAAAGAGATAAAAAATATGAATTTTGGCAAAACCATCCTTCACTAAGCTTGTTCCAAAGGTGGCTGAACTATAAAGTTTCTATAAAACTTTAAAAATAAATAAATAAAAACCAAAGAAACCTGTGCAGACTAAGATATCCCAGCTTCTCTCAGGCAATACTCACCAGAGAGGAGATGTGTCATTTCACTAAAGAATTAAAACCACGCTTATATATTATTGAAATAAAGCATACTGTAGTATATAAAGCACTTTGAATTTGAACTCTGTAGGGAACTAGGTCATAAAACAAACATAGAGACCTTGTGGAAGTCAGTCTGTTCTGGACACCCTTAAGTTGCAATGAAGAAGATGGCAAAATGTAATTAATCTACAAATGGACTCTAAATAAACAACTACTTGAACACAATCTTCCTTTTATTTGGGAGCTAGGACAGTGCTTTTTGCTACCTTGCCTAATCTCTTGCGTTTCCAGGCCATCTATCAACACAGTCTCTGTTTTCCCCTTAACTGCTCCTATGGATAATATGATGGTGGAGAAACCAGGAGGCAGGAGGAGAATATACGGACTATTGGGACACCTTTGTGGCATTCCGTGGGTTTAGCTCAGAAACAAGTACCTGGCCCTTGGGAGGAACAGCTGGCAGTGACAAATGTGCACGAAGTCTGATACATTGTGTCCTGAGATTTCTTCTTAGTTACTGTTCTCTATGACCAGTGTTTTTAAAACAGTGGAGATGATATCCAGGATATTTTCGCTATTTATAATTCCCATTGTTGCAGCTCTCTGGGGATGATTAGATCGGATGACTTCAGTGGTGTGATAGCTATTGATATAAATAACTTTCCAGAAGATTTCCTTATGACTTTAGAACAAATTCACCGGCAACAAAAACATTTCTGAAGGAGCTTAGTTACCTGGCTGTTTTCTGAAAACCACACCAGGCACTGATCTGCATAAAGAGGAGATAAAAGCCTTTAAAAGCTAATATTTGAGTGCCTCAGGTTTTCATTTCAAAAAATCAATTCTCAAACACCTAGGTCCCATTTTCAGGAGTGTCAGGATCCTCAGCTTCTCAAGCACTTCTGAATATTGTGCTTTCTGAGAAGTTTAGAGAAAAAGGAATAAATGCTCACCTACATCAAAGCAAAAATAAGCTGTAGGTATTCAGCAGTGATCAGAAACAGTGGAGTTCAATGGTTGCTGGGGAAATCTGGCCAAGGGACAGATAATTACCCAAAACTCTCCACTTATTCGAAGCATGGTTGAAGGTTTGCTGATGGAAAAGGTCTTTCCTGTGAGACTTCCAGCATTTCCTGGTTTCAGCCAAGAAAGGTATAGTGGAAGAAGTGCCTCTCACTCTATTTTGATACTTCTGATCCCTGAAGAAGGGATTCAGGGGCATGATGTGTGTTGAAAGTAAACTAAGAAAATTCTAATTGCTCTTTCATGTGGGTCCATTTGATTCCCTGTTCTGGCTGCAATTTTTAATCATGTTTTTGTGGACTAATGCTGGGGAATCGTTTCACTCTTCCCCAGGAGGACCAAAGATTTCAGGTCTAAATAACCAAAGATAAACCTGTTTATCATTCTTTCCCTCTTCTGAGTTCATGCACCCAAATGCTCGATCTTTGTGTACAAGTACAATTTGGATAACCTCCTTAGATTACCTGTGAAAACTGGAATTCTTAGGCCTGATTATTATTTGGCTGAGAGACCTCGGATGTCATAAGAATCTGCCCTTCCAATTCAATTCTTTAATCAGGAGAGACTTCCTTTAGTTAGCAACAGAAAATGCTGAAGTTTTTGAGGTGTTCTCCCACTTCACAATTATGTGATTTGCCATGGGAAGCTGCTTGCAGCCCATGACAGGTGTGCAGAGGGCATCCTATAAAGATCTGCTTGACTTATTGGACAGACAGATACTACACAGCAGCAAAGCAGGTGCTCTTTGAGGTAGCTTTGCTTTGGCAGAATGAAGCTGGCTGAAGTTCATTCCAAAGCAATGCTCTCCCCACCCTGGCATGTCGTGTGCCACGTGGGGTCACAGGTGCTGCTCGGCCCAGCAGTGCTCCGTGCACCTTGAAACTTCCCTCTCGGAGCGGCAAGCCCTGCTTTTCTTGGGCAATGTTTCAGAAGTGTTTCAGAGCCATCTAAAATTGGAAACCTCCAGAGAATGAGCTAATCCCTTGGTCGAGGAAATAGGAATATATTTGAAATTTAGTAAAACCTGGGAGACTTTGCTGAAGTCACCTCATGCTAATCAGTCAGCAAGACTTCAGGGCGGGAACCAGGCTGGCACCAGGCACTCCCTGGTGAGAAGGGAGTGCAGTCCTTGCCTGCCATGGTAAAATTAGTGTTGCTTAAGGTAAATGAACTGCAATAAACCTTTCTGGAAAAAAAAAAGTTATTTTTAACTCACTTGCATAATGAAAATGTACAGGATTGCTTATTATGTCTGCCATGAAATAAGTGTATTTTTGTCCTGAATTAGACCAGTCCAATGTACTGGTGGTGACCAGTGACAAATGCCTCTGAAAAGTGTAGGAAATGCAACTTGCAGGATCACAGGCAATAATCTACCCACAAGGGAATGTTTCCCTTCATTAGAGGCTGTTTATAATTTGCAATTATAGACTTGCATCTTTTCAAGCCTGTTTTTTTATCTCCTCTTAGAGGACGTTGCTAGCCTTGATGTAAACACTGGGGGATGCAAACATACCTGGGGGGAAGGGGGAAGCCTCACTTTGTGAGACGTTATACCTGCCAAAAGATAATCCTTAGGCAAACTGATTATAATACAGGCAGCTGACAAAAGTAAAAGATGTGCTATGTAGTGTTCCAAAAGGAGCAATTTGATCAAATCTGTTCCTGCACCTACTGCAGACTGAAAAGCTTCTTGAGTTCTGGCCTAGTTTCCTAACCAAAAGTTCCTTGATGTTTTTTTTGGGACCCAGATAAAGAAGAATGTGCCTGAAAAAAAGAGTATATCAGTATTCATTTTCAGTTCTACTCATTCCCCCAATTAAATGTGCAAGTGCGGTGCTGTTCCCTCCATTCTTCCAGCCTTCAACTGTCTGCAAGTTTTGGATGACTTGGAGTGTACCTTGTCCATACAAAACACAGAGCCAAGGCTATTTCAAAATGTGGTTGATGTAACCAGCATCTCCACCCCTCTGTAGCATGTATTGATGTGGGTGTCCTTTCCACAGGAGATGCTTCTTATGGGAATACACGATAAACAAACCTGTCTCTCCCTTTCCCTTTTATCACCAAAACCTGAGGAAGCTGCCACCTGGCAGAGTGGAGTGTTCCTGCCTCCTTTTCCTGTGCTGCTGCTGCTCCCTGGTGTGAGGGAGAGGTCATGGTAGAAATCCATAATTCATTGGCCACGTAAGGTTTTCTCGTACTCATGTTTGCTCTGCACTGACTGTGATAATGGCAGAGAAAATTAATACTGACTCGCTCTCATCTCTCTCCTTGGAACTGTGAGAATTTTTTAGCCCTCTATATGGAGTTTTGTACAGACTTAAGAGACTTGTTCTGTGAAACCAT